TTCCTTCCTTCCTTCCTTCCTTCTTTCCTTCCTTCCTTCCTTCCTTCCGTTGTTGCTTTCGCACACTTTCTTAGTTCGCATTATGCTGCGTTTTCAAAGAACCCTGAGTACCTGTGCTCTGGCACTGCATCCAACAAATACTGTTGAGCCGCCCACCAACTGCCGTGGTGCCTGCTTTCCATCGAAGGAGAAGCATTCACCTGTGGCAGAGGTTGCAATCTCCCGGAAGTCTCTCCCAGGGGTTATTCATTCTGTCGGAAGACGTCAGGATTGAAATCAGTATTTCTCTGAAGTCACTAAAAAGCGAACTTAAGGTCGACAAAGCTCTAGGCAAGCTCGACAAAGGCATGTGAGGCCTGGTCGGTATTGAATCTGCTTTCGCCTAAGCCGAACGAATCAAACGCATGCATTTCTCGTCGTTATTGGTCCTTTTGCACTTGAGGCAAGAACCACAAACACTGCCTTAGGCCTTAGGTCTCACCTGTTCAGCAGCTCGCATTCCAATGGCCATTTGTAAATTGTAGGCTTGGGAAAGGTCTTTGGAGTGTGTAGACGAAGAATGCAGTCAAAGGGATGTAAGCACAATTATAGCCACCTTCGGCTTTCAATCCAAGAACACAAATCAGCTCAGCCTCAGCCAAGCTGGGCTTCCCAACACATCTCCCGCACGTACGCTCAGGTAAGCTTTTTCAGGAAGCCCCTCGCAGGCTCGCACGGATTGGCAGAGGGTCAGTACAGAAAGTGATTCAGTCTTTTGAGAGGAAAAGCGTGTTGATGCCTCCGCCATGCTCCAATCAACAAACAGTTGTGGATTCATTTGAATGTGATCCCATGAAAGTGCATGGTGTCTTGGCCTCTACTTGGAACAAGAAGCTACTATATAGGGGCTCCTGGCCGTACCACTAGGTCACTAGGTTACTAGGAGCAAGGATTGATGAATTGACCCACAAAGCGCTCCCTCACCGTGCCACACACCAAGCAGCAAATCCAGCTAACTCGCGCGTACTGTGGGGCTGGTGTCCTGTGCTGCTCTGTTTACCCAGCCTCTGCCCCAGCCACAGTCACATCCATGACCTTGGGAGTGCTTGAGAGTTGGATGGTCATCTCGATCGCCCAAGGATAGGACAAGACCCACCAGGAATGTCGTGAATCTACCCACCGTTCCAGAATCATGAACAGCTGCATGTCCTTGCCTCCCATAGAATAAAAACATGGTCTTTGTGTAATGCAGACATGAAAGCTCATCGGAATGATTTCCGTTGTATTTTTGACAATGGGAAGCCTTTTGTTCACATCTCAATCACTTCTGTTCCTACAGTCTACTTCAACAAAGGTAGGGGTGATGTTGTTGTTTTGCCTTCGCAGGATGCTGTATTTGCATTGGCTGCATCCAGAAGCCATCCGAAACTACGCTTACATGCTTAAATGCGATGGCTCCACACAGTCTTTGGCCAAGGGCTTGTGACTTGGGCCACTTTGCAGTCACTTTGAAGTCGATGGCCTCCAACCTACTTGCGATGGCCTCCGCCAACACACCCCGAAAAATACACACCTCGGCGGTTGGCAGTTCTTTCGTCCCCTGGTGCCCTCAGCTCACCCACTGGTGCCCACAGCACAGCGACCCAACGGGCCCGGTGTGCTTGAGCCAAATCGCCGTCCAGAGCGCCCGTTGCGCGTGTTCTACGTAAGTGACCGACCAGTCTCAGTGGCCGGTCGTTTCTTGGGTGTTGGAACTTCGCTACTAGGAGCAAGGGCCTTACTAGTAGTAACAAGGTTCGCTACTAGGAGCAAAGGGCATCGCTACTAGGAGCAAGGACGCTACTAGGGGCTCCTGGCATCGTTACTAGGAGCAAACGGAACTTCGCATGCTTTTGGATGTTTGACGCTTTCAACAGGCCGTTTCTCATGAAGGGTGATGGCGTTTCAGTGGTTCTCCGGTCAAGTCATTGGAACAGGACCACGATGGAACACGTGTCTCAAGTCATGGTCCGTCAGTGGCAACAGCCTTCCAGTCACTGACAACACGAGTAAGCCCTCCAGGATCACCAAGATTGGGCACCTCGGGCGGAACGCCTGCTTCTAAAGGCGAAGTAAGTACAATGACCACGTGCAACGACCGTAAGTTGTTTGACGGTCAATACGACTGACACTGACACCCATCCTTCTGGAAAAACAGAAAAAGCTGATGCCCAGCTCATGATTCAAGTAAAATCCAAAAGCTATTAGTAACAAGAAGCTATTAGTAACAAGTGCATCGCTTCTAGTAACAAGTGCCTTACTAGTAGTAAAAAGAAGCTATTAGAAACAAGAAAATGATGAGCCACCAAGAGCAGCACAGTACACTGAGCACCTCCCAGACACTTGCAGCTCCTGATGCCAGCTTTGGACTGGAGACTCAATGGTGGTTCATCCCATGAGCTGCAGGTGAACTCAAACCTTTCGTTCCTAGTAGCTTCTTGTTCCCAGTAGTACGGCCAGGAGCCCCTAGTAGCGTCCTTGCTCCTAGTAGCGATGCCAGGAGCCCCTAGTAGCTTCTTGCTCCTAGTAGTAAACCCCAACCTCAGCTTGGCTTCTCGGCTTCATGACCAATCACCGCAGCTGAAAAGATCCATGAAGTTCCTCGCTTCCAGGTGGGAGGCCATTTTTATTAGGTGGGAGGCCATCGCAATTAGTAGTTCAAAGGAAGATTGTGCCGTTTAATTTAGTTTATGTTAAGTTCCTCAGTTCAAGGTCGAGGTCATGGACCTGCTCTTCGACTCGCTTCGACTGCTCCCTAGTCGCCCTAGTCCTGGTGAAAGCGCCCACTTCTTCCACAGTTCCACTCCAACAAAAGAGTGGAAAATGCCAGAGAGCCTGCAGGGCCATGGCCCTCCAGCATTCTAAAAGAATGCTTCAGGTCCTTGTTGCTTCCTGTTGCTTCTTGCATGTTGCTTGCTTGGACAGTGTTTCTCTTTCGATAAACAGTGTCTTTCTTGTTCTGCTTCCTTTTCACCTGTCCTTTTATCTTGGGTTGCTTCTAACAAGAACGCTCTTCTATATTTCTGCTCATACCGAGTCATACCCCCGTACTATTGACAACACACTCAGAACGAGGTGCTTCGAGTGGCGGGGAGCGTGATAAAAATCCGTCTCCAGCCCGTCTGGGCCTTTTGGCTTCCACAACGGCATCATCTGCCCTTGGATGTCAAAAATCACCAAAAGCTTCTCAGTCAAGTCAATTTGCAACGAGTCACCTCTGCAAAAAGCCTGCAGCCTTTTTTATGGGCAGGTCTTTTTGAAGAGTTCTTACTTGACAAGAAAAGACATAAATCCTCCGCTGGAATAGTTTCCCAGATTAGGCTTGTCTCCAAAGTCCAAAGTAGTGCGTGTTCTATGTTTGTCCCTGGACGATACATATTGCTCAGCGATGGTAGGTGGTCACAGAGCTAGATACCTGGATCACCGCCCATCCAAACACCACCAAGCTGGACCAGTGCTACCATCTCCGCTTCTGGCAATGCGTGGGGATTTCGCTCTTGGAGGCCAAGGCCAGCGCTAGTAGGTTGAGGTTCTCATATTAAGGAATACTTCTTTTACATGTAGCGTTCTTGTTCCTAGTAGTAAGGCCAGGAGCCCCTAGTAGCGTCCGATCGCTCCTAGTAGCGAGGCCAAGAGTCCCGTTCGTAGCGTGGGGAATACTTCAAAGTGCGAACGGGGACTTCAATCCACAGTTCTTGGGCCTCGGACCAGTGCGGGGCCTTCTGCGTGTAGTCCACTTCCACGTAGCGCAAAACGCGCTGCGGAGAGGACGAGAGGACGGGACGGGACGGCTGGGAAAGGCCACGGGGAAAAGCCGTCGACCCAAATCTGAGAAAAGCTGTTTGTTTAGCCCGTGGCCTTGCCTTCTTACTTAATTAAGTAGGCGTAAGCTACTAGCTACTGAGACGCTCCTACATATGGACGCAGGATAGCTCACGCTTCTTCAACGCCTCAACCCGGGGGGAGCTTCCTGGAAGAAGCGATCGCACGAATGATTTTGTTTCTAGTAGCGAACATTGCTCCTAGTAGTAAGGCCAGGAGCCCCTAGTAGCGTCTTTGCTCCTAGTAGCGATGAGGAGCCTCTAGTAGCTTCTAGCCCCTAATGATTTTTAGGGAAACTTAACAAACGAATTGTTTTGTATGTTGTTGTACAGTATGTTGTTTGGGAAGATGAGCAGCTACGTGTAGCTGCAAGTGTCCCCGGTTGCTTTGCACAATCCAACAAATGGTTGAAACACCAAAGGGCGGACCCACCAAGTGATGCATCAGTGATGCTTCCCATGTTGAAGAACGAAGAAGGATTTTGTACAAGGCCTGTGACCACAACTGGCTCTATGGCTCCTAGGTTGGAGGCCATCGCTGATAGGTTGGAGGCCATCGCTAGTAGGTTGGAGGCCATTGCCTTTTCTGCTCCCATTTCCTCTGCCTCCGCGCCAGCACAGAACAGCAGCACCACGCGCCGGGCAGACAGGGCAGACATGCTGCGGACATGCGCAAGGCAAGGTGAAAACGTTGCGTCCTGATGTAAATTGAAGGTGGCTGGAAGGTGGCTTCAGGGTCTGGCTTGCAGCATGGGCATTTGTCATTCAACTCATTCAACCAATTGAAAAAGAGATGCTTTTTTTTAACCAATCAATGTCGCTGTGCAATCTCTTTGTGCATCAACGTTCGCTAGGCCCTTAGAGCAGCTCTTTGCTTTGGAAATGGCCCAACGGCCATCCACATGAATTCTCTCGGCCATGCGGCTTGAAAAAAGGCTGCGCACGGCTTGTCATCAGGATAAACTATGGATACAATGGAATATGTTAGGAACAAGATATGTTTTTTGGTAGTGGCTCAATCGGAAGGGCAAGTTCTTGCTTTAGTCTGAAGGCATAGGCATAAACACAAGAAGGAGTGAGTGACAAACCAACCGCCACACACAGACCATATGCTCATGAATTGAACAAAAAGACACATAGCGATGCAAGCAACCACCCAAAACACGGCAAAAGGGTACAAGAAAAGAAGAGAATAGGAAGGCTTGTACTTCAGCACCTTCACTTCAGCGCGTGAGGGCTCTTTTTCCTCAGTAGTCTTCAAACTCTGCATACTCATCGTCGTCGTCATCCAGGGGAGACCCACTGGATTCACTTTCAGACCGATCAGCATCTGGGTAAAGCTCCTCATAGGAGATGTCCTCAGTCCCGAGCTCAGCTCACGTAGGCCCAGGTGTTTCAGTCCCTTCCTTCACCCCAAACAGACTAGAAGGCCTTTGGTACGGATTGCCTTGCGTCAACTCCCACTTGAACAGGAGGAAAAGTACATCCATTTGCATGGCAAGAACGCTACAAAAGTGTTTTGGGACTGGAGCACCAAAAATGAAACTATCCAAAGGCAAAAGCTCGCAAAAAACACACAACATTCAAAGTCTATCCCTCCCAAGTCCAGAGGAAAGTAACAAAGCGACACAAATAGATTACAACATGTTATGTTTACAACAAGAAAAGCAAAAAACTGCGCATCTTTGAAGTCTTTAGACCTTTTCTCCCGGCCAAGTTTCTTGAGTGCCTTCCTCTTCTTCCTCTGCAGCCACATCTGCAGCTTCCCGAATCTCACTGTCAATCAGCCCAGCATCCCGTAGCATGGACGAGAAGGCAGGAGGCCGTTGGAGGAACTCCTACAAACCAAAGTAACCGTCGTAACGGATCATTTCTCCGCTGCGCCAAACGCCCTTTCCCAAAAGTCAAAGATGGACCATCTAAGATGGTACCATGGCGAATCGATCTCCCCCGAAACCAACGGAGCAAGAAGCTTATAGGGGCTCTTGGCATCGCTACTAGGAGCAACGACGCTAAGAAAAGAAAGAAAGGTCAGATATCGCTTGAAAATCTAAGTTTTGACCTTCTGCAAAACTGCCCAAAAGCCCACGTGGCGCGGACAGTGCTCCTGCAAGGCGTCGCCCGGTGCTCGCCCGCCGCCCGGCGCCAGCACCAGCTCCCGGAAGCGTCGCCCCTGCGCCCGGAGCCCGTCGGGCGACGCCGCGTCGAAGGCGGCGAAGGCGTCGGCGGCCAAGGCTTCGGCCCAGAGATCACCGTACAAGGCGCCCGCGAAGCGGTCGTCATGGAAAGGAAGGCTACAAAGCTCACGATCCTGGAAGGTCTGGGGTGGAGGGCCATCTAGTAGGTTGGAGGCCATCTTAGTGACACTGTAGCCAGTGTGGGACAAGTCGGGTGAGTCACGTGACAAGTCGGGTGTGACAAGTCGGGAAAGCCAACATGGCTTGGTCGGTGGGGAATGGTCCAAGAGATAAGGGTTCCATTGCTCGGTAGAAAAAGAACTATGTTATTTGTTTCTATGTTAATTAGTATTCTTGTTACTACTAGTAAGGCACTTGTTACTAGAAGCGATGCACTTGTTCCTACTAGCTTCTTGTTACTAAAATGAAAAAAAGACGAATGCCCAAGTTGGGAAACGTCACTGAAACCAAGACTGCGGGATTCAGTTGGGTTCTTTGTGTTCCTCTGCGAGTCTCCGCCACAGAAAAGACACTCCGAGACGGGGCGGGCTCAGCTCCGAGACTCCTGGACTCTGGGCCGGATCACAGCGTACTCGGCCTCGATGAGCTTGGCGAGGTCGTAGATGTTCAGGTCACTGTAGGGGTCATAGTCCTGAAGAACAGGTCGAACGGAGGCCAGACGCCGTGGGGGACGGAGGCCATACGTCCCCGGTAGTGGGGTCCATATGGTTCCATATAGAGTTCTGGGATGCAGAGACGTGCAAAAATGGTCGACTGTAATGTTCAGGTGCTGTCAGTGTTGTGGAGTCATTGCCATTTCCGGGACATTCCATCAGTCATGGGCAAGGAATGGTCTATAGTCCATTGAAGTCCATGTGGACAACCTGACAACCTGACAAAAACAGCTGACCAAACAAAATGACAGCTGGATTCATGTCTTGTCTCCGCCCCTACAAACCACAAACATCCTGACTCCTTCGAAACCTTAAACTCCAATCCACCCACCTGACCCTCTGGACCCACTTCGCATGAGTTGTTTCTACTAGCAAACATTGTTCCTAGTAGTAAGGCACTTGTTACTACTAGCGATGCACCTGTTACTAGA